TTTTTTTCTGTTTATTTTCTTACAAACATTCAATATTTATTATTTTTCTAATCATAATGTCCATTAATTTTCTTTTTTTCTTCCCCTTCAAAGTTTTCAAATTTCATGTAGTACAACAACAACAACATCAAGCCTTTATCCCACTACGTGGGGTCGGCTACATGAATCCTTTTTCTCCAATTTGAATTTGAAATTCAAATTGAGCTAAATAAGGAACTTTCCTAAAATAGACTATTTAAACTAGGAAAGATTTTGAAAATTCGCCATGATGAATTTCGAATTTCAAATCTTCCCGCATTCAATTTAATCTAAAATAGGAAATAAATTAGGTTGGAAAAAAGGAGGAGATTGGTCGGCGGCTTAGGAGATGGGGGCGGCGGGATGAAGAGTTGGGTGGGGTGATTTGGCCGTGGGGTGAGGAAGGAAAAGGGAGCAATTTCGGAATAGTGGAAATCGGGCCGGCCGTTTGTGGTGGTTTTCGGGTGAGGTGGTCGGCGGGTTGTGAAGAGGTGGCTGGTGTCTTGGGTGGAGGATGGGGATGTCGACAAGGAGAAAATGAAAAGATAACGAAAAGAATAAAACCACGAACCCGGCCGTCTCCAAGGTTGGTGGGTGATACGATTTCCCTCTCCAAGGGATCTCAATTCAAGAGCCCGGACCCATCCTGCGGCTGGTGACAACTCCGATTCCTCTCATAGGAATCTCACTAATGCTCTCTCACAAGAAGAACACAAGTGTGGAAAAATAATTTTTTTCATATCAAATTAACCATCCTATTACAATAGCTAAAGGCCATATATATAGGTCACAATATGAGAAAATAAAAAAATTACAAAATTGCCCCTTGGGCTACAACACTCAAATAAATTAACCTAGGGGTAAAACAGGAAATAACATAAAAATAGAAACTAAAATGCAGAAAATAATTCATAAATGACAACTTAAATCAGAGCCGTCGATTTACGACGCCTCCTGTGATAGATGCGCCAGATTTTCGTGTCGATGTCCGCATCAACTTCATACCATAGTTCTTAATGGCACAAAATAGCACACACTCATAATGCTGCAAGACACATTATTTGTGCCATTTTAATGGCGTGGAAAATAGCTTCTCTATGTAGTTTAAAATGAACTAGATTGACATAGCACATACTTAACGTGTCTAACATCATCTATTGACCTTGAACGCTACTCAGGAGGAATGGAAGCAAGTACATTACTTGCTCCAATTAGATATATCCGAGTCTATTCAATTAATTATTCCATTAGCTGAATCCGTACCAGAATGTCTTGGGACTTATACCCGCTTCATGATGGCTATTGAGTATCCAATGCCTGAAAGTCATATTCTCTCTCTTTGTTAAGTACAATTCAAATTCTGTACCACTATTAGAAAAGGTGTTCAATTATCCTTAAAGGTTGTGCTTAGGGGTGCAAATGAGTCGAGTCGAGCTCGAGTCAGGGGGTGTTCGAGTCGAGCTCAACTGTCAAATACTGAGCTCGAGCTCGAGCTCAAAAATCTAGCTCGAGCCCGACTCATTCAATCGTAAACGAGTTCGAGCCGCTCATCTAGCCTCCGGCACGGTCCTCAAAAAATTTATTCGGGGGCTTTTTGGTTATCCGGAAAAAAGAGAGTATTGAAAAGATTTTTTTGGGTTTGCTGTTAGCGCGCGCGCGAGAGAGAGAGAGAGAGAGAGAGAGAAGATTTTTTGGTTTTGGTGTTAGCATTTATTATTTGCCGGGCTTGTCACAGAAGAGAGAGAGAGAGTATGCGATTAGATTTGAAACATACTAGAATTTAAAAATGTGGGCGGATGAGATTATCATTAATTTTTTTTTAAATATTTAAATTTAATAATTTCGAGTCGACTCGCGAGTTCACGAGCTGAGCCTCGTCAAGCTTGAGCTCGTGGCTCGATAAGCTCGGCTTGTGAGCTCAGTATCGAGTCGAGCTCAAGCTGGTTCACAAGCCGGCTCGGCTGGCTCACAAGCCGGCTCGGCTCACTTACACCACTAGCTGTGCTCATTTGAAGTTTCTTAGTTGCTTTACGTTGGAGAACTTGATTCTGTCTCATTGAAGCATGAATAGCTGTAAATACAGCATGACTTGCGAATTACACAAAAACAAACCCAAAGCTGTTGGCAGTACTCAAATGGAGCATTCCTCCCCTTCTGCTGAAATTAAGTTTCATTCACTCCTATACAATGCAAAGTACACAACAAAACAATCAACGCCAGGATCCTCCTGCAGAGATGTAAGCAAGACCATCTTAATATAAAACCTTAAGTTTAAACATGATATAAATTATTTAAATTTATATTTTATTTTTTTAAGTAACGTAGGGATTTACTTAACATTCACTCCTATGCAGACAAATGCAATATACAAGGTAAACAATAGGGCCAACTTTCCGCCATTTCTTCATCAATTATGTCTTTGAAAGGTTGAGAATTAAGCTTTGGATCAGAACAAAGTATTGAACAGAAAAGCCTGAAAAAGAAACGTTCAGTTAGAAACAAAACATAAAGGAAATCGAGTTGTTGGCGAACATATGATTTTTGTAATTGATTAATTCTGGGCTACACACTCACCTCCTGAAAGCAATTGAACCACACAACTTGTTGATAATTCTTTTGTAATTTGAGTAAAGCTCCTTTTGTCCCTTCCTCTCAAACCAGATCCTATGCAGATTTGCTATTATGTTCTCTGATTTGATGAGAAAGGAGCGAAATTGTTTTTAAAGGGTCTTAGAGTTGGTGATGGAAGCAGATGAGGGAGAGATAGCTCAATGACTCAAATGAGAAAGGTCAAATACCAATGGAGAAGGTTGGTAAAAGAGTAAGAGGATGATTGAAGTTGGCGGATTGTGTGTTGGTCGAGAATGAAGAGCGACTGTGAGACTGCTTTTTTTGTTGATCAAGCCCTGTAGTAGCGACACAGTTGCAGCACAAAATGATTAGATATCTCGATTCATGCTTTTTTAATATTTGGTCTGGTTCTGGAGAATGGGATTGAGGATAAGAGTATTAGTAACTTTAGAGTTTAGCAAAACTTTGGGTTAGTGGGTTATATTTTATCATTTTTAATTTTAATTTAAATAACATATATCAAGTTTAATAATTACATTACTCAGTTTTTTTAATAACCTATTAGCTGGTTGGCTAGTTGTGTTGTACCTGCAAAATGGAGGTATATGTATGTGTGTGTACGGTATGTATACGGTACCTTCCATTAGCCTGCAAAAGTAATGTTGGGGTTCAAAGCCCTCAAAATTGTTGAAAGCAATAGATTTTTCTTGATGTATAAGATTGTATTATCTTGATGCCCTATTAGTAAAGGATAATTGCTATTTATCATTAAACAAGGGGGCACTGTAACTGCCATTAGCCTGCAAAAGTAATGTTAGGGTTGGAAGCCCTCAAAAGCGTTGGAAGCATTAGGTTTTTCTCGATGTATAAGATTGTATTTTATGAAAATTTAGCTTCAACTGTTGTTCTTTTGGGCATATGTATACAAATTGAATCAGCTTAGCTGAGCCGTGTCGGCTATATATAATGTTTTGCATTTATTTCGCTAGACTTTATAAAATGCAGCTAGTTTATGTCTGGTTGTGCTTTGTGCTGTTTAGGAAAGGTGGACCAATACTAGGCTTGGCCCGTTAAGTGCCTCATATTTGTCTGTGTATTGCTGCCCTTTCTCGGGATTTATTATTCTGTGCGGAGTCCGGAGGGGGTCCGGAGACCAATAAAAATGCGCCACAACACCCCATTGCTCGGCACCTAACTCAGTACCAGCGCTCGGTACCCCTCGGTACCGCTGGGTACCCAGCGCTTAACCGGACGAGAGAACCGTTCGGTGTCCGCACAGAATAATAACTCCTTTCTTGTATGGGCCCAATAAATGTTTAAGCATGCTTGGAAGATTGCATTTCTTTTCATAAGGTTGCAGCTCGAAACTGTGAATGGAAGGCTGTGATCATTGAAGAGGAGCTCTGTTTTATGCTTCTCTTTGCACAATTTCTAATTATCTTACATTTGTTTGCATATTTTTTTCTTGACCCTTCACATTGTTTCTTTCTTATTGCTACATCTTTTGCCTTTGTTGTTGTATCTAACAAAATTACCTGAGCCGTTTTCCAGTTTTATCTTCAATATGTGGTAATTTCAATATCTCCTGTATCTTTCACTCTTCATATTTTATCACATCCATTTAAACCTAATCAATTTTGGCACGCCAAATTTACTTATGACATGCTACCTGAAACTTACATCCATATAGCATGGTTGATCTAACAAAATGCAAAGATAGTTATTTTTAATCTGAATTTTCTTCCATGTCTGTACACTCTCTTTTTTAATCTGTTTTATTTTGATCTTTATGCTTAAATTCAGCTATTAATTTTCCTATGTTTTGAGGTAGTTATTGGAGGTTTTTCCGCAATTTTTTCTTATAAAAAGCCCATGAAATTGTACGGCGTGTCTTGCCAAATATATCAAGAAAATTTATTGTTTGTTAAGCAAAATATTGATTGTATTCTCTAAAAGTTACTTCATTTTGGGTATGGCTAAAATTGCTTGTGGAGGGTAATTTCATCATGATTTAGTTTCGGGCGTTCAAAAATTTTTGTTAATATTTAGAAACAATATTGAGGAATTAGTCAGCAATCTTCATCTCTTATTAGATCAGCGAGTCATATGCAGAGATGTATGAGCTCTTGGCTGTGGGGCAGTAAAAGTTGCGGTGTATTTTTTTCTAACATTTCTTTGTTCTCGTTCTTATTTGCCCTTAGAAATCCATTGAAGCCTACCAATACAGCATCCATAGATCTTTGATTCTGTGAAGACCATCTTATTTGCCTTTGATTTTTTTCATGCATTGATTTAGTATCGCTGTTCATATTCTATTGTCTAGTCATTATACTGTATACAATAACAGCTGCTATTAATGTCTTTAGGAAAGCACATCGATCCACAATTTCAGAAGTTTTGTATTTTACCAGGTTTTCAGCCACCTGCTCCAAGATATTATTGACAACAAACATGATGAAGCAAAGTGATATTGTTAATTCAAAATCACCAGAAGAATGTTGTAGCCATGGAAACTCTGATGATGAATTTGAGGAGTACAGTGAGGAAGAAATGCTTAGTGAAGAAGAATCAAATGAAAACTTGTGCTTTCCACCAAATAAAGAAGGCTCTATTGATAAATTAAGTAAGGTAGAAGGTTCATGTGCAGAAGAACCAAATGAATATGTTTCATCTGATGAAGAATCAGCTGAAGAAGTTCCTTGTGGAGATGAATCCGATGAGGAAGATTCATGTCCAGAAGAATCAAATGAAGAAAATTTAGACGAAGGACCTGAAGCAGCATCTGCAGAATACCCAACAGAGGGGATGATGACATTAGAAGAAGCCGGTGATGAAGATCTAACAGATGTATCATTTGAAGAGATTATTGAAGAAGAGTTCTATGAGGAATCGTATGAGGAACCTGATGAAGAAGAGCCGTTGAGGGGTTCTATGGATCAAATACCCCTTGCTATTATCAGTGACGGGGTTTCTAATTCGCTTGAACAGAAGAAAGCATCAGATCATGCGTTTTTAGAATCAAAAACTTCGGTTGAGTCTTCTTGTAATCAATGTCTGAGGGAATCTAGTAACCTCTCTATAGATGCACTTGTTTCCAAGCAACAGGATGATCCATCGGCCTCTATCAAGAAAAGGCGAAGTAGATGGGATATCAAGGCTGAGGCTCCAATGCCAGTAAATGAGAGTGGTGACCTAGGTATAAAAAGGACGACTAGATGGTCCAGTGATACAAAGGCTGAGGCTCCAATACTAGTGAATGATAATGCTGACCTCAAGAAAAGAAGGAAGACTAGATGGTCCAGTGATGAAACTCAGTTAAACATGCCATGTACGCTGAAGCTTCTGGACTCTGTCAAGGATATTTCATCCAACACCGACAATGACCAAAGCATACGAAGATTGAATGCAGAGATTCAAGCAATAAACCGAAAGCTGGGGGGTAGTGTGATAGTAAATGAGCAGCCGCAGGAAGAAAGTTCCCCATCTCCACAACCTAATGATGATTGTCTTGACTCTAGGATATATACAAGTGAATTTAGGCACCTCGTGAGTCTCTTGAAGCAGAAGCTTTCGATCATATCAGAACTTACAAAGAGTCAGAAGAATGATAAACCTTCAAATCATGCTATATTCAAAAAGAAGATATACCTACCTGTGAAAGAATATCCCAATTATAACTTTATTGGTCTTATACTTGGTCCAAATGGGAATTCGTTGAAAAAAATGGAGAAGGAGACAGGGGCTACTATTGTATTAAGAGGTAAAGGTTTTAGTAGTAAGGATAAGAAAAACCAGTGTAGTGATGATAATGATGATGAACATGTCCTTATACAATCAGATAGCCGTAATGGTTTTGATGCTGCTGTAAGTATGGTGGAAAAGCTATTGGTTCCAGTTGATGATCGGCATAATTATTACAAATCTGCCCAACTAAGAGAGCTTGCTGAATTAAGAGGAAATCTAAAGGAAGTAACTTTCTGGGACGTTAAACAATGTGACATATGTGGTAAGTCAAGCCACCAAACTTCTGATTGCCCCCTTGTAGCAACTGAGTTACAATCCAATGCTAACTTTCACACCGGGTCTGGAAGCTTATTTTCCTCTTTTAAAAGTTCATCAGCTTCTCCTTGCCCCTTGCCTTTTGTGGCTAATGCATTTGATGATAAACCCCAGGAGGAGAGTAAACCTGTCAGTCTCTTTGTAGGTCATCTTTCTCTATCCGTCAGCAAAGATAAATTGAAGGAGCTTTTCCTGCCTTATGGCGACATTTGTTATGTGAGTGTGCTAATGGATAAGAGCACTGGCCAAAGCAAAGGGTGTGGCTTTGTTAGGTATACTAGTGCCAGTGATGCTGCAGTGGCTATCGCCAAAATGAATGGGTGTATGGTTGATGGTAAGAAACTAACAGTTAAAATAGCAGGAGCATCTTCGCCTTCTTTGTTTGCAGATCTGCCAAATTATCCTGGATTTGCTTCTATACCCCCTCCATCTTTGAATACGGATCTGCCAAATTTTCCAGGACTGGCTTCTATTCCTCCTCCATCTTCCAATGCAAACCTGCCAAATTTTCTTGGAACCCCCCATCCGTCTTCTTCAAATGCAAATCTGCCAAAATATCCTGAACTTTCTGCCATTGCTGAAATGAATCCTAAACCAAATTATTGGCCAGGTCCTCCAGGATCCATGCTTCTAGAATCAGGTATTTCTTACCCCAAGAGCAGCTTTAATTCTTCAAATTACACTGAAAGTGTGCCTTTGCAATCTTCAACATCTTTTGGTATCACATTCCAAACAACATCTCTTGGGAAGAACGGGCGCATGATTGATGGGAAAGTTACAGTAACAGGGTCCCCTTCCCCATCCTTAAATTTGCCAAATTATCCAGGATTTGTGGCCATTCCTCGAGATATCCCTGAATCAAATTGTTTGCCATGCCCTTCAGCTTCAATACCAACTGCATCAGGCACCTTTTTATCCAATAGCAGGTATAATTTATTAAATCACACTGACAGTGTGCCTTTTAGATCTTCAACATATCTTGGTTCCACATGCCAAACATCAATTTCAACATCTCAATTTCCTGGTGTTGCTGCAACTTCCAATGAACTCGCCACTTTTCCTGGTTTTCTGAAGAGCTTTGACTCTTCAAATCAACTTAACCCATCAATGCCTTCAAGCAGTCTATCATCTCCATCACCTTATTTTATTAGGAACTTCTCTAGCCAACAGATGAATCCAACATGGCGGTAACTATGATCATCCTGCATTAAATTGAGTGTGTCAAATCAGATTACTGCTTCCAGGTTTATGTTTCAAATCCATGACTGTAGATGCAGAACCTTTTTGTATTCATCTACCTTGGTGAAGCAGCAGTGAAATAAAGCTATTAGTACAGATTGTGAAGAAATATCCAAAAAAAAAAAAAAAAGAAGAATGAAAGAAAACCGCACTGGAAGAGCAAGGCAGTGACATAGGCCTGGTTATAACTTTACGATTGCTTTGGTTCATTTAGCACTCGCTTTCTGCATGTTTGGTCATGTAAATAGCTGGAGCTTTTTTATGACAAATTGAATACTAATGAAACTAGATACCCGTTAGATGCTTCTGCATTAGTAGTTGGCTTTACTTATTGTATATTAATCATTCTCTTTATCCGTTGTGTTCTGTTTGTGCTAACGTTTATGGCCTTCACCTATGCTCTATTTGAGCCTTGCAGGATTTGAATCAGAAGCATATTATCTCGAATAATGACATCTTCATTCGGAGCATCAAAATGTTGTCCATCTCGAATCCAAAATCCGATCCGGATATTAAACGGGTTGATCCGAAAAATTTACATGAAAATTTTCTTTTTATTAGTTCTTTAGTTTAACATCTAGAGCATAAAATTAACCAAACTAGTTATGAATGTGGGAGCATATGGAATACTCGTGGGTGTTAAGATAGCGGGGAAGCAAAAGTGAAATTTTATATATATAAATCAAAATTCATTATCTCATTTTTCACTAAAACTCCCTCAACCACAATCCTATTTTGCCAGAAAAAAAAGGCAGAGGGGAGAGATAAAGGAGGTGATAGAAAAAGAAGAGAGAAATTTGGATGCCTCAAAGTAGAATTCGAACTTCGGGCTAGGCTATTAATGGTTTCATTGAAAAAAAAAAAAGCAGGTCATTCTCGTTAGGGGATGACCCAGTCGACCTAGCATGCAACCCACATCAATTTACACGGGCCGACACTTACGGCTGTCACGAATTGCCAAGGGATTCGAACTCGGTACCTGGCCTTTGGCCAGCCAGTTCTTCACAACCAAGACAACCCGCGGTGGGTAATGGTTTCATTGAGCATAAGGTAGACTTCTAAGTACTTGTTTCTTATTTAAATTCCAATGAATTCATAATGAGACATGAATAAAAAAAATGTATTGTTTTAGTTTTATAATATTTTTATAGCGTAACTTTTTTATCTATTCTAGCACGTTTTATTTTGGACATTTTGATTATAAAATGTTAAATTCTACTAGTTGATTTTATCTATGATGATTTTTATGTATATTGAATAAATGAGACTTTTTTTTATATTTATGTATATAACTTTTTTATCTATTCTCACATTTAAATTCATAATTATTAGATATTACATTCATGTTACACAATTTATGATATGGCATTATAGAAGTTTTGATTTCTGAAATATTATAAGTGCACTTTCTAAAATGATACAAGTGTCCTAAATGTTCTGCTTTGGGCCCATCTGTCTTGTGTGAGGGTGGGATAAATTTTGGTCCCACTTATTGTATGTACGTGTGAGAGGTTTTTATTTTGTCCCCACTTATTGTATACAGGTGTGAGAGGCTTAAAGGGAACTATACGTGATTGTAGAGCTATATGTAAATATTGAGACATGTGCATGGTACTTCCTTACATTGCATATTCTAAGAATTCAATGAGTTAAGTGATATTTTGATGACTCTAAAACTTCTATATATATTTTGATAAATGAAACAAGTTCAAGGGAAAACCATGTTCTAAAATAAAACATATTTTAATACCTCAGACATATCTATGAAGCTTACCCGAGAAGGTATAAGTGATGACTCTAAAATCAAGTACATTCTAATAACTTTATGAAAGTACTTTTGTGTAAATTTCAAGGGTAAATATTATGTGTGAAATTAAAATATTAATTTCTAAATTTATATTCTTAGCCGCCAATATGTTGAATTTCATATGAATGGCTTTTTATTAACATTTACATCATACTTGATGTTTAACCTATTACCTAAATATATCATTATATATAAGGAAATGTATTTGATATGTGTGATGAGAATGTGGTAGAATTTCAATGAGCTGGTGGTGCTCATTTTATAAAATTTCTCTAACATTTCATGTAGAAAAGGCCCGACGAGGTAGAGTGATAAGGGCATAATTGTGTATGTTAGGATTGCTGAGATATTTTTATAAACCAGATATTTATTCTTGTGATGTATATAGTCTGTATAAAAACTAAATTATTATATATAATTTATTAGAAATGAAATTTGAATTTTATACTATTTTTTATTATTTTGTTGCCTCTGGGTTTATTTTTTAAGCTTTAGGTTTATTATGTATTGTTGTTTAGAATAGATAATAATAATAAAATATGTTTGGGGATTCAATTCTTCCCTTAGATATTAGGATATGACATAACGAAACTTTCCTGTAAGTTAGACACTACATCCTATCAAAAGTTTTCTCCATCCTCATAAGCTATTGGTTCCACTCTCAAATTTCGAAGGCTTCAATTTCATAACATCCACAAAGGTTTCTAAATATCATCAGATCTCATAACAGACATCCTACTCCAGGCCTCGCCCATCAACCATGCTACCATCCTAGTAAATTGAGAAACAAAATCAGAACTGACTGCACTTACTATTCTCTATACCAACAAAGCATAACTAAAACTCCACCTATTAATTATATTTAGCTCTTGGTGATTTGTTTGAGACAGTCACTGAATGCACACAGCTGAATAATATAGGCACATGAAAATAAAATTAAATAAACACTTGATACTACCAAGAATTATCCCTCACAATCTACATATCAATCATGTCTCTGTTACAATCAATTCCTACAAAACATTATTCTGATACCAAAACTTCTTTCACAATTTGAGACTTGATTTAATCCACACAATGAATAAGTCATACCATGTTGGATTATGACATCACAGAAATTCTAAGTCTAGTTAGAGAGAATTACAGGATTTCTAATATAATTTATAAGCAATAGAGCCACTTCTATTTATGCATAGGTTTATATAGATTTCTCAAAACAAACAGATACTAAAGATCTACAAAATAGAAAATAGTAGCTCAATCACACCCAATCATAAGTAGTAGAATAGTAACCACATTAATAAATTGCTCATCATGGAAAGTTTCTCTCAAGCCCTTATACCTCCCAATAGAAATCAAAATTTATGCCCTTTAACTCCCGATGATAGCATATCAAATAACAAACCCTTATAATCATCAATTCTTAGCACCATGGACATTCATAGATTCAACCACTTATAGCTCCAAACAAACATCACATCAAAACTTCTCATCAATCATTAGAACTCTTCCAATTCACATATTTTAGATATATAACATTGAAATAATTATAATGCTAGATATTTTACACAATATCATAATTATTATAGAATTTCAAAGTCATACTAATAGTAAACAAATAGAAGTTTGGAGGAAACTCACACACAAAATATTATATTTTCAAAATTTAACCAAATTATCAAATATTATTCATATTTTCAAAACTATGCACTATTTCTATGTGTCAAAATATTTTTTCGATTGTTAAAATAACATTTTCAAAACTACTAAGTGAAAATTCACAAATAAGCAATTAGAATGTGCAGAATATTAATAACTACAATATGTTATGAGGTGGAAACGTATCAGATGATCGGATATACCCTCTTTTGCATCATAATTTTAATTAAAATGTTAGAAAAATCTAAAAAAATATGAATTATTATAAATTGAAATAAGAAAAATGTAACCTACCTTGACGCAAATAATTTATTGAATTTACCTAACAGATAAAAATAACTTGAAGCAGCCTAAATTTCACCTTCTCTCTCTAGAGTCTCTGGCTTTTTCTATCTAACCAGCATTACATTATAGGATAAATGATTTGGCATTTTAAATAATGAGTGAATTTTTATATTTATTGAAAATTTTTCCCTAGTGCCATGACGCTCAGAGACCAAGCCTTGTAGTGCTCCCTTCATAAATCAAAATTTAAGAGAGAATGGCACCACAACGCACATGACCAGCACTACAATACTAACCCAAATCCAATTTTTTTATAGAATATAGAAAATTCCTCACCACAACGTCATCACCCCCAATAATGTGATGCTCCCAGGGGAAATTTGTAGACTTAGATCTCACACACATAAATCTTTTGGACATGCTCTAAAATAGACTTTATGTATCCATAAGCATACAAAACATTCAAAGACATGTATAGAATATAAATAAGGAAATTTCAAAACACACATTCTTATTGGATCATGTTTAGATTAGTTCAAAACACTAGCAGTAGATGTTACACATAGAGTTAAAGATTCTTAAAAATAACACTTATGTCTCTTTGAAATATTTTACGAGCATTTATAAAGTTTTGTGGGTCTTCATAATTATTGATTTATTGAATAACAAAATGGAATATTTTTTCCATTTTGAACCAAATTAATTTAAAATCTCACTCAATGAACCAAATTAATTTAAAATCTCACTCAATTTTTGTTTGTTAGTAGCTAGTGAATAAGTGGATTTTATACACTAATTAATTTAGTTAACTTTTTGCCTTTTACTAAATCCCTAGCCTTTGGAGAAAACCATCCCCCAAACCCTAGATCAATATTTTCAATGGAGTTTTATTATATATTCATATTAGTGATTAAAAGCTTACTTTCCAAGATGATGGATCTTCTATATTTAGTGCTTTCTTTTCTTGGCTTCTTCATGTTATTGGAATTTAGCATGTAAGAACTATTTCTCTATTTTTTTTTTAATTTCTATTTGATCTTTATTGTACTATATTAAAGTGTTCTAGAGGAGAATACTCATGAGAGATCGTCTCAAGGAAAAGGGTGGTTGTGTCAATAAGAAGTTGGTTCCAAGGATTCTTTGCCTATAATAGGAGTAGCAAGTTCGTTAACTGCAGGTTTTGTAGGGAATTCTAAGTTTAGTGGGTAGGTATGGATGTAGGCTATGTCTAAATCATTATGCATTCATATGTAATGTTTATCTTTTACCTATTTTATATATTAATTGTATTATTAGCTTTGAGTATTATGATGTTAAGTGATAGAAATAGTTTTTAAACTATCCACATATTTTCAGAAGTCAACCCCCCCCCC